AACCCGGTTGACCTCTATAAAAACCGTTACTATGTGTCTACTTCAGCTCCAACTCCAGCACACTTCTATTTTTTTTTTCGTCGATAAGGTTGGTCCAAATGATCGTTGGAAAGAGTTGTTAATGCAAATTGAGTTCGAAAATTATTTTCATATAAATATAATTATTGTCAACTTATAACTATATTTATATAAAAATAATAAATTATAATAGATATAAAATATTTTATGTTGACTTTAAAATATCTTATATCTATTATAATTTACAATTAATTTATAAACCAATTTATCAATTTTAATTCCTCTAACTATTTTAAACTTATTATTTTACAACTATTTTTATATTTATAAATTTCTTAAAATGTTTTTAGTACTACAATTTCCAGTAACAGTGACTGGTTTGCAAAGTTTAACAATATTTGAGGTTTTTCTTAGATTGTTCAATTATTAGTTTTCTTGAACAATAACATAATTTTGAAAATATAAAATTCACCATTTATAATTATCTGAAGTATCTAATAAAATTAAGTTATCTTTAAGAGATAAATCATTCTGGATATTGTTCATATACAGTACTCCAAAATGATAATTGAAATAATATATTTATAATAATAGTTATTATTATATTAATAGTAACTATAAAAATCTAAAAGAATGTGTCTGAATAAATTATTTTAATTATAATTTGGTAAATATTAATTTGATATTCACCAGCAAAAAGATTTGTAAGAAATAGTTCTAAAAGAACCAAGAGAGTAATAGCAAAAAAAAATTTGAAAACATTTTTATATTAAATTGTATTTGTTGTTTTAGCAGTAAGATTGTCTTAAGTTTGATTCAATTTGTTTTTTTATATGAGAGATAGCTTCTCTTATAAAGATTAAAATCTGATAATATAAAGTTTAGTTTGTAATATTTGTAAATTAAATATATATTTAATACATATTATCCTTCTCAATTTAGTAAATTCATACACATACATTATGTATTTATAATCAATTTTAAATGTATATATAATTGGTTTAATTTATTTATTATAATAATATAACAGATAATATAAATAAATAATATAATATAGAGTTGGGATCCCGTGGCCTAGTGGTCTAGGCACCCAACCCTCCACGAGCAAGTTTCGGGTTCAAGTCCTAGTAGGTATGTTTATTTACGAATATTTGGAAGTATCTGCTGTAGGAAGTCCAAGTGAATACAGATCTGGATTAGAAATTTCCAGAAGGAGGTCCATTGTGGAGCAGTTGGCACTATGTGTAATGTTGGTTATTATAGAAGGTTTTATTACACAAAGGTTGTATGTGTAAATCCGCGATTGGCAAGATAGCACTAACAACCCCTAAGATGGCATTGGGGATTTTGTTTGGGAGGATAATCAGGCGATAACTAGAATTGGAAGTGGTGAGAAATGTGGTAAACACAAAAGGATCTGTGGTAAAGAATTAGCCTTGCCAGATTTGGAATATCTCTGGTGCTATGTAGAATTGATTACCAAAAGGAGACCAAAGCATGGAGATATATATGTGTCAAGACCCAACAGAGCTCTGGACGCACCCATATGGGAGTCTTTGGACATTAAGAGTGGTTCGGGTTTACCAAAATGCAGATAGCTGGTATAAGTATATGCAGTGTATAAATGAGCTACAACTGCTAAGAATCACTATAAAAAGAAACGATAATGCACCTGTTACACAAAAACCTCATGATGCCAGCCAACTATCGGTTCTGGAAGTGCAGGGTAACCTGCTATGAAACATGCCTGGGTCCTTGTTACCATAAAGGGGAGTATAGCTATTCGCACAATTACCAAATTTGATATGTTAAGATCTAAACTCTGAAAGTTGCAGAAAAGTGGGCTGGTTGTGGCAGTATGCAGGCTTGAGATACTTATCTATCTGGGTAGAGGCAGCTGTATAGCTTGAGATATGAACCCCCTACAAGTACACCAAATAGGAGCACAAACTAGGCACACCAAACTGTAAGTATTAAGTGCCTACCTGAAGCATTAACATACCAATTTGGAAGTTGAGATAGTAGGTAATGTGGGTGAAGCGGTGGACATGTAGAAGTTAAATGGCGGTAAGTAAGGATATACAAAATCCGGGTTAACAGTATAGTGGGAGTACAGTCGGCTCTGGTAGGTTTTAGCCATGGATAAATGGTTTGTATACCTAATGTCCTAGTCTTAGTACTTGAAATAATATGTATATATATAGACACCATCATATGTCAATCATTTAAGTAATAAAGTCTAAATGCGGGTGCTACACCTCTATAATTAAAAAAAACAATAATAATATAATATAATATAAAATAAAAATATAATATAATATAAAATAAATAAAAAAAATATTTAGACTTCACTAGTACCATCCAGTATTCAAATCCTATTAACTTCTGTTAAATTAGAATTCATTTCTAGATCTAGGAGTTATTTCTGGTAATTTATAAACTGGTGAATAATGAACTTGACTATTACTTCCAATTCTCTCAACATAAATCCCTCCTTTATATTGATTTGTGACCCTACCATTTTGATTTAATATATCTCTATATCTACCCCTATTCCAAGTTACTAACTTATCAATAACTGTATTTGGTTGAGCTAATACAGGTGTTCTAGCATAACATGGACCTTTTGGTCTTGGAACAACAACACTTGAACTATTTTTTCTACTTCTTGGTTTACCAACTCTTCTATGTGATATATATCCTTTTCTAGTTACTTGAGCACCAACATCATTTAAAAATAATAAAAATATCAAAAAAATTACAAGAAATTGCATCTGCATCCTAATCTTGTATATTTTTTTTCATTTTTTTTGTATTTTCTCGATTCAACAACGTTAATTGTTAATTTTTTATTTTAAAAATTTGGCAGTCTTGCCTCTACTTTATTAGGCTTTATAATATTATACTCTGAAATATTAAAAATTTTACAAAGGGTATAAACCCTAATGCCATCTAAATTACCTTACTCGGCTCATTGTGACCAGAGTCCAAATTACCTATTTGTGACCTGCTATAGGCAGGATTCTTCTCCAAAATATTCTCTTCTGCACTTGAAAAGAATAAATCTTTACCGAAAGGTTCCCACTGGCTTGTCAAGACTACCTATTCTTTCTTCTAAACTTTTTCCACCTAGATCCGAGCAGAATAGTTTATCTTTTACTTTTCCGTAAAGAAAGAAAAAATATGCCACATATATGAAAGAAAACAAAACTATCTAGGAAAAGAAAGAGAAAAACAAAAAAAAGAAAAAAAAAAATTTAACTGAAAAAAAAAGGGTCCTAAATATGGTTTCGTTATAATAGGAACTAGATGAAAAGAGCAGAAAAAAGCCATAGGAGTTCTGACAAACCACTTTTAAAAAAAAACAAATAAAAGAAACAAAAATACACTATTATAACCTGTACCAGATATAAAGGTAAAAATTATATACTAATTGCAACTAATTAATATATCTCAGCTATAAAGCTTCGCTTTAACGTTAGAACTCATTTCAGACACGTTACCAGGGTCGGGTATCTCCTAAACAGGGGTTATTGATCTCATCCCCATACCATAGCACCATAGTGATAAGCAAAACAAACATGTGGTTGCATTCTACTGAGTTCATCTGAAATAGGTAAGTGTAAACAATACTGATCTTTTGGAGGGAGTAAGCTAAAAAGCCTACTTTTTGTTGAATTTTTTGTGAGAACAGCAGGAAGGTGAAGTAGAGGAGAAAAACCACTTGTATACAAAATAAAAGAGTGTGAGTTTCTTTTACTAGAATCAACTGAGGTCACACCAGAGTATGCACAGTACTAAGTTTTGTTAGTGAGTGATAAACTTTGAGCTTGTCAGCAGATAGCATATGAGAACTATCTCTAAACGACAAGTGCTGTGCCTATCACCACAGTAAGTGATAAACTCTGAAAAAATCAGCAGATAGCATATGAGAACTATCTCTAAACGATAGTTGCTGTTCTAGGGTCCCTTTTCTCATATCTTATTATGTCTAGTATAGCTGTTTGTATTTTTCCTAGTAGAAAGTTTTTTGGGAATTTTTGGTAAAAGTGATCGTTAGAAAGAGTTCGTTAATTGTTAATAAAATTGTCAATATTAAAAAAATAAAGAAACTTTTATTTTTAATGTTAAATAAAGAAAAGCTTGTATATTTATACAAAAAAATATATAAATAGACCAGTTTATAAAAATAATTATACATGGATAAATCAAATCTTTATGATTTACTTTTCCTTATAATTCTATTAGAAATTATTTTAATTTTATTTTTAGCAATTTTCTATTCAATAAATTTTTACAAAGATATTTTTACCTTAATTTCTATTAATAATTTACAACAAATTTTATCAACTCTTATTACAAAAGCTATCTCATTTTTTATCCAATTCATTGATCAATATCAATAAAAATAGCTTCTAAAAAAAACACAAAAAAGAAATCGGCAAGTAAGCCTACTCAAAAAAAGAAAAAAAATAGAAAACAACTAACGATAAAACAAAAAATAACACAAAAGAAAGTAATAACAAAAAAAACCAAAACTAGTAAAACTTAAAGAGAATAATATAGCAATATTAGTAAAAAAGAACTGTAATAACACTTATCGGTGCTGTTATACTAAAGAACCAGGAGTTTGTAATTCTAGTTGTATCTGTTGTTTTTAATCAACAAATCAAAATTATTTTACAGTTGGTTTAGAAGAATATTAAATGGCGAGACCAGAAGTAAACTTTTGTCCTTTATTAACCGAAGAACTCTTAGATATTGAATGAGAATGTGGTATTAAAACTTATAAAAAAGAATAAATATGATATAACTCATTTATTCAATGCAGAAGAAATAAAGCAAATATAGATACACCTGCTGTGACTTCTGATGGCCATAATACTCTTTTATTCTGGCCACAACAATATTATTTTAGTCAACTATTATTTCAAGATATACCATTTAACAATAATATTCACACAAAACATATGTTAAATTTTTATCAAATATTTAAATTAACAATTTTTGGTTATGTTAATGATAGTATTCAATCATTGACTGTTGAAGAAGGAAATACAGAAAATAAATACATTTTTCCTCTAGCAGAAGGACAAGGCAAACAGAATGCAAATGATATATATGTAATTAATCCAATTAGAAAATCATTTAGAGTTAGATTATTAATACTTAAGCAAGATAATTAACTCAAAATGGAGATATTGAACAAAATGCTAGCTTATCATCATTAGCAGTATTTGAAAACTTGAGCAATCTCATTGATAGTCATGTAAAAAGAAATTTTAATATAGTATATAAAAAAATATAAAATATTGAATGTTTCAAATGTGATTATGAAACAACTATATGTTTTAATTAGTGTATTGAAAAAAATTGGTGGATTACAGCTTTTAATAATGATAATACAAATAATAACCAACATTTGTTCAATTTAATACTGGATTTTTCTGGATTGTTGTTGTGAATGATATTAATAAACCATTGCGATATTTAAAATATATGACTGATCAACATGAAAATAAAAGATATCTTCTTGGACCCAAATTTAACCCAACTAGAGATAAAGGATTTTTAAGAGGACCTTGTACTGTAATATTAGATTTTATTCAAGCATATCAATTTATTGATTTTGGAACAAATAATGCTTTAGCAATTAGAGATATAGTTGAAGAAATTAGAGATTTAAAACGAAAATTTGATGAAAATAATGGAGAAAAACAAAATAAAGATAAAAAGTAAGTTTATTTTAATATATATATATAATATATAATATTATTAAACTAATATTAGAACCGACACAGATAAACCAACACAACCTACACCTACTCGACCTCTTGAAGATAGTAATACACCTACTCCAACTACAACTATTTTAACACCAACAACAATAAATTTACCAACAACTACAACTATTACTACACCAACACCAACTATTACTACACCAACACCTACAACCTCTTTATCAACAACAACTACAACTATTACTTTTCCAAAACCATATACTAATATTGATATTACAACAACAAAAACAACAAAAACT